AAAAAGCAAAAAAAAATCCAAATCAAAAGCAAAGAAAAAAACTCAACCTAAGAAAGACCATACTCTTGATACTATAGATTATGCTACTCCTGATAATATAAACCCAGCTGATGATGCTACACCTACTACTACTACAAACTCAGTTGATGATACAAACTTAGGATATTATGATATTACTACTACTACTACTACATATCTATTTACTACTACTACTATGATGCCGAAACTTTTCCCCGCGATGAAGTCTAGTGGCACGCAACAACTTTTCCCTGGTGCAACTCCAAAAGTGGCTAATGCAAAAGCGGGTGAAGATTCAGCGCCAGTGCCAAGCCCACTTTCTGATACAACACAAAGTAGTAATGCAAGTAGTAGAAACTTAAGTGCATTTGCTGGCACTGCTGGAATAGCTTTGCTCGCCTTTGGTTTGGTCGGATTATTTATTCATCGTAAAAGGAATGCGGGTAACAAAAAAGATGCAGAAATGCTTGGCTCGAGTGGTACTTTTAACAATAAAAAACCACCTGATTCACCTAATATGTTACAATTAATGGATACAAATAATGTTGAGAATTCGAAAGAAACTAGTTATGACACATATTCAAATGAAGTAAATATTCCAAGTTTAGAACCACTTAGTCCACTACAATTATCCCCTAACAACAACCTAGGTTCAGAAATCCTAAATGATGCACCTATCATTCCTCCACTCGTATTTGCAAATAATACAAATAATCATTCTCAGGATATCAATACACAACCTCCTGCCAGACAATCATTTTATGGTGAATCGATGTATTCAACAATTTACACTACAAATCAGCCCCTTTCCTTACCAGAACCATCACAATCTAAAAGTTCTTTTGTGGATTTATCACGTTCAACTGCTTATCCACAATCAATTCCGGAGGTTCCTGTTCCATTCGTCGCTGTTTCTACCACATCTGATATAAATAATTATGACAATATTAAAGAAACTGTCAGATATTCAATTGAAGGTGCTAATTTAGATGATGCAGATAATTATAATTATCTAGTAGAATCTGAATTCATAAGACCGGATTCATTTCTTCTAAACGACTCGATGAATAGTCCTCTCGATGAAAAAACAAATAGTCCCATGCATAGTGAACTAATGAATAATACTTCTACTTACTTACCTACAAAGTTAAATGATGTTGCAATTGAAACATCTGTCGTTCCAACTGCATTTGATTCTAATATTAAAGATCAACCTTTTATTGAAAGCAACAGTATTTATCAAGATTCAGGAAATGAGAATCAATCAAATAAAGTTTACCCAAACCAGAACATACAGATGGATTACGTCGAACCCAATCAAGGAACGATTCATATAGAAACGTTGGATCTCAATATTACTGATAGTACTTTGGCTCCAGTTAAAGAATCATTTGACACTCAACCAAATAAAATATATGATGTAACAGAAGGTGATCTCAATGATACTTCATCTCTAGAATCACCTATTGAAAAACCAAATATACAAATAATGAAAACAGAAATTGTACCTGTTCAGTCTAATATGCAAATTGAAAATATTCAAGATATGATTGAAAATAATTCAGAAAACACGAATGATCCCTCATCTGATACTGGTTCTCCTCCGCAAACATCTGAAACAAATCCTACTCCTCAAATGATGACTCCAGCTACAACCGTTTTTGTCAACCCGATTCAATCTAAAATGATAATTGAAAAAGTAGATAATGAACCTCAACCAACATTAAATAAACCTTTTATATCAACTCCGTCTGCTTATATTGCCGAACGTGCATCAGCATTTACGCAATCAGCTACTCCAACAACTGTATCTAAAAAATCTAAAAAGGGTGCACAAAAGAATAAAGGAGTTACAGACGTAGATGAGAAAAATAGATCATCTGCGGATAACGGTCCAAACAAAGTGGAGCCAAAGAAGCCTGCTCATAGAGATTCAGATCAAGAACCTGTTCCTAGAAAATCGATCTTGAAAAATAAAGTGCAAAAACCTCAAGTACCTCAAGTAAGTATAAAAAAAAAAATTCTTTAAAATATTAAATCCTTGAAGCATTAATTTGTTAACTAAAATTATATAACTTTTCAAAAGCAAATACCACCAATGCCTCAAATACCAGAGGATCTTAAAATATCTAATGAACTTACAGCAACTAATAATCCTGTGGAAAAATCAGAAGCGTTATATCGAAGTCCAACTTTTAGTATGTATAAAATGTATGATGATTTACCTGGAGGTCGAAACAGC